TGCTCTCTCTGTCAAATAAATAAAATCTTTAAAAAAAAAAAAAAAGAATTTAGAAAGGGAATAATAGATTAAATCCAAATAAAATAGAAGGAAGGAAATAATAAAGTTAAGAGGAGTTAAAAACACTAATATGAATGAATAGTCCTTTTTAATAAACAACCTTGTACATATTTTTTAGTGAACATATGTACTCATTCCTACTATGTATCTCAGGAATAGAGAGTACACTTCACAATTCATTTTATAAGACCCGCATAACTTTGATTCTAAAATTAGACACTATAAATTACAAGGAAAAATTACAGAATGATATATCTTATGAGCATAGACGAAAATATATTTGTTAAAGGGCACCTGGGTGGCTCAGTCATTTAAGCGTCTGCCTTTGGCTCAGGTCATGATCCCGGGGTCCTGGGATCGAGCCTCTTGTCGGGGCCCCTGCTCAGAGGGGAGTCTGCTTCTCCCTCTCCCTCTGCATGCTCTCTAAAATAAATAAATAAAATCTTTTTTTAGAAAAGAAAATATATTTATCAAATACTAGCATATTAAATCTAGCAGTATATACATTAGAACTAAGTGAGATTTATTCTGAGAGGTTGGTATACATTAAAAAATAAAAAGAAAAACCTCAATAATTAGAAGGCAAATAACCCAACTAAAAATGGGCAAAAGATTTATTTACTTATTTTAGATTTTATTTATTTGAGAGAGAGAGAGGGGGAGAGAGAGTACAAGCCAGGGGGAGAGGCAGAGAAAGAAGGAGAAGCAGGCTCCCTGCTGAGCAAGGAGCCTGATGTGGGGCTCGATTCCAGGACCCTGGGATTATGACCTGGGCTGAAGGCAGACAGTTAAGTGACTGAGCAACCCAGGTGCTCCAAATGGGCAAAAGATTGAAACAGATACCTCACCAAAAAAATATGTACAGATGACAAGCCTATGAAAGATGCTCAAAATCATTTGTCATTAGGGAATTAAATTAAAATAACAATGAGACATCACTACAAACCCATTAGAATAGCTAAAATCCAAAACACTGATAACAAGAAATACTGGCAAGTATGTGGATCAATGGGAACTCTCATTCATTAGTGATGGGAATGCAAAATTGTACAGCCATTTTATTTTTTATTAATATTATTTTTCATTTTTAAAAAAAGTTTTAATTTTAATTCCATGAACAGCCATTTCAAAAGACATTATGGCAGTTTCTTTCTTTCTTCCTTCCTTCCTTCCTTCCTTCCCTCCCTCCTTTCTTTCTTTTTCTTTCTTCTTTCTTTTTAAAGATTTTATTTATTTATTTGACAGAGAGAGCACAGGCAGGGGGAGCAGCAGAGGCAGAGGGAGAAGCAGGCTCCCAGCCGAGCAGGGAGACCCTGAGATCATGACCTGAGCCGAAGGCAGACGCTCAACCAAATGAGCCACCCAGGTGCCCCTCTTTCTTTCTTTCTTTTCTTTTTTTTTTTTTAAAGATTTTACTTCTTTATTTGAGAGAGAGAGAAAAGCAAGAGTGGGGGGAGGGGCAGAGAGTGAGAGGGAGAAGCAGACTCTCCACTGAGCAGGGAGCCTGCCACAGGGCTCCATCCCATATTTTGTCCTATTTTTTTGGTAGGAGCTTTATAGTTTTATAGTTTTACATTTAGGCCAGTAATACATTTTGAGTCAATTTTTGTGAAGGGTGTTGGATATGTGTGTAGGTTCATTTTTTTTTGCATGTGGATATCCAGTTGTTCTAGTATCATTTGTTGAAGAGACTATCTTTGCTTCATTGAATAGCTTTTACTCCTTTTTCAAAGGTCACTTGGCTTTGTATTTCTGTACTCTTGATTCTGTTCCATTAATCTGCCTATTTTTTTCCCCAAAGCCACACTGCCTTGATTGAATTTCCTTTATATTAAATATTGAAGTCAGGTACTGTCAGTCTTACAACTTCTTCTTTTTCAATATCATGTTGGCTATTTTGGAACTTTTGCCTCTCCATATAAACTTTAGAATCAGCTTATTGATACCCACAAAATTACTTATCCTATCCATGACCATGGCATATCTCTACATTTATTTAGTTCTTCATCAATTTCCTTCATCAGAGTTTTGTAGTTTTCCTTATATAGATCTTCTATATGTTTTGTTAGATTTATACCTATGTATATCATTTTGGGAGAGGTGCTAATGTATATGGTACTGTATTTTCAAATTAAAACTCTACTTGTTCAGTGGTGGTATATAGGAAAGTCATTGACTTTTATATATTAAACTTGTATCCTGCAGCCTTGCTTTAACTACTTATTAATTCCCAGAGTTTTTGGTCCATTGTTTCAGATTTTCTAATGTGTCAATCTTCTCATCAGTGGAAAGAAACCACATTCCTTCCTTCCTAATCTGTATGTCTTTTATTCCTTTTCTTGTCTTATTGCATTAGCTGAGTTCTCAAGTACAATGTTGAAGAGCAGTGGTTAGATGGGCAACCTTGCATTATTCCTGGCCCTAGTAGAAAAGCTTCAAGTTTCTCACACTTAAGTATGTTGATAGCTGTAGGTTTTTGTAGACATTCTTTATCACATTAAGGACCTTCCTCTCTGTTACTAGTATACTGCAAGTTTTAAAAAACCATAAGTGGGTGTTGGAGTTTGTCAAATGCTTTTTCTACATCTATTGATATAATCATGTAATTTTCCTTCTTTAGCCTATTGATGTGTTGGATTTTATTCGTTCTCTTTTGAATGCTGAATCAGCCATTTATCCATGGGATAAATCACACTCGAGTGTGACATATTTGTCTATTTTTTTTCTTTCTTCCTTTTTTTTTTTTTTTTAAAGTAGGCTCCCCAGTGTGGAGCTCAAAGGTGGGCTTGAACTCTTGACCCCAAGATCAAGACCTCAGCTGAGATCAAGTTGGCTGCTTAACTGACTGAGCCACCCAGGCACTCCTCTCTGGTTTTGCTATTAAGAAATGCTGAGGGGTGCTGGGTGGCTCAGTTGGTTAAGTGTTTGCCTTCAACTTAGGTTATGATCTTGGGGTCCTGGGATTGAGCCCTGTATTGGGTTCCCTGCTCAGTGGATAGTCTGCTTCTCCCTCTCTCTTTGCCCTCCCACCACTTGTGCACTCTCTCTTTCTCAAATAAATAAATAAAATCTTAAAAAGAGACAATGCAGAATAATTTAGGACATATTCCCTTTGCTTCTATCCATTGAAAGTTACTGTAGACAATTG